CGGCATGGCCTGGGGATAAAGGATCTGCCTGGGAAGAGGAAGGGCAGCCAAGCCATCACGATGCTCCTGTCGGCCCCTGACAGTGGACGCGTCCGGTTCGCCTCTGTGGCCTCTAGTTCGTGGGAGCCACTCGTGTCTTCACATCGGGCTGGTCCCCCTGGGCAGACGCGGCACACTCCCCTCTCTAACCTGTCCGCGAGGAACAAGACCCAGCAGCCGCCACAGGGGTGTGTGCTGTCTACTGACCCCAGGGAGGAGGAGGGAGAACGGGCTTTGGCTCGGAACGCGTGCAGCCTGCCGTCCGTCCAGCCGCAGATGGCTGTGCACAGTGCCTGTTCCGTGACGCTAAAGGAGCAGAGACCAGAAGGTTCTCTTCACTGGTATTCAAGGGGCCTCCTGGTGTGACCATCTCCCATGTGCCGCATCTCCAGGCTCCACTCAAGACCTCCAAGGTCTTCCTCCCATGCACTGCGGCCCAGGGGCTCCCTGACGTGGGGACTGGACCAGAACGTGGTCATGGGCCTCCCCCTTGTGCTCCCCGCAGTCCAGTTGAAAGAGCGCCCCACAAAACCAGCAGACCAAGGGTGTAGATGCGCCCTGCTCCCTTCCTGGTGATCACTGGGGTCACTGGCCCAGGGCCGGCCCAGACCCGACCCGTCTGGTGTACAACCAACCTTCTGCACAAAAGGCCTCTAGCAGTCAGTCCCCACATGGGCCTTCACACGTCCACACCGGCCTTCCCGCCCCGCAGCCTAGGACGACAGCACCTTCCTCCTAAAGCAGCCCTGCCTTCCCCACTTCAGTCTAGCCGTTCCCACTGCAACCGAGACAAAATCTAATGGCTGTTAAATATAACTATCTGAAGGGGCCTGGATGGCAGTGGGAGCACCGGAGAACCCGCGAATGACACCCACCCCGGGATGTGGACAACAGACACCTGAGCCTCCAGATGTGAGTCAGCTGAATGCCCGGTACCCCGACCTCACTGCTCCCCAGGGACATGGCACCCCCGGAGGTCTAGGAGCCCCTCGGACCGGGGCCTCACTCGGTGGGGATCCTACCTCGTGGTCCCAGAGGCAAGGTGGCAGCCAGGTACAGAAGGTGGCTTTTTGGAGATGGGGCGGGTGCCAGGGGCGAGTCTGGTCCACACTGCCTGCAAAGTGTGTTACAAACAAGGACAAGTGAGCGTTCGGTCTGCACACCTGCGGGGAGGCTGGACACGAGGATGCAGGAGGAGCCCAGGCTTCATGGAGGGGCTTCACCTGCCCGCTGGCAGCCCCCACCCCTCCTCCCATCTCAGAGCTCCAGGAATCTCTGGGGGCACTGCCCGCCACTGGACTGTTCCAGTCCCCACCGGCCTCCTAGTGCTCAGACCTCCAGTCCCCACCCGTCTCCCATCTGTCCTGGGTGGGTGGAGGGGGGGCCAGGGTCAACACACAGGTGGTAACGCATTCACGGCGCTAGCAAGTGCTGGGTGACTGTGCACCCCCCCACCCCCGCTCTCCTGGGGCTCTTCCCTGGGGTCAGCACCAGAGGCTCTGGCTCCCTCCATCTCAGGGGCACCCCGAGGCAGGTTGTTTGCACAGAGTTTCATCCCCAAAGCTGAGACCCACAATGAGGGAGCGGCGACTGAAGCCTTCTAGGTTAACGTTTTTCGAAGGTCAAAGTTGGCTTTCCGGAGCGAGGTAAAGGACTACAGGCAGGGTCCATGCATGGGCTTCAGGTGGCCCGTGAGTCCCCTGAGGTCCTGCGTACATTTCTCTAGGCAGAGCCTTCCAGAGTCTCAAAGATCCCTGACCTCACAAGCACAGGAACCTACCTCGGATCGGTGGTCACCTCAGAGGACACGCCGTGAATCTTAGTGGTAACAACTACGAACGCCAGCCCTGAAATCTCAGTGGGAAGGTGACCTTCAAAAAAAGCTGGACTCCAGATGATCCAGAACATTACCTCGTTAGCCAGGAAAAACATGGACTGCACGTACAGACCACTTACGCTCGATGCACAAAACCGGTAACACGGCCCGCTGTGAACAATAAAGACCTCACGAGGCCAAGCAGAGAGCGGAGGACAGGGTCAAGTTTCTGCTGAAGGAGGGGCACAGAGCAGGTGCTGTGGCCCGAGGGAGAGAGCACCCCGCATGGGACGGGGATGACACTGGCCTAGGAGGTCACATGATGACAGCAGAACAACGTACTCTGGGATAATAAACATCAGGAAGGCGTCAAGTGAGTGAACCTGTAAGGATACACTTTATTTACCACCAGGGAAACAGGAAGGGTGAGAATGTACACCGGCCAGCCTGCAAAAATCCTCAAGGCTTATTTCTGGGCATTTAGGGAGGTCTCTGAGATTACAAGGCCCAGCGTTCACAGCTCTAAAACTAAGAAAATTCATGTTTCTTTTCCTCAATGGACTCCTGCTTGCATGAGCGTATGAATATCGCCCATAATAACGGGCAGATTTTGACTCCCAGGTCCACAGAGAGGAGGGGAGGCCGACAGAAGGGGAAGGTCCGGGGCTCCCTGAGATAAGGGGGGCAAGGCAGATACGGCCAGGGAGCGAGGGTACCAGCTGTGCACACAGTGTGTGGTCGAGGAGGAGAGACTCATTCACCAGAATTCCCCCTGGGAAACAAGGACTCTCCTTGGGATGGGGGAGACCTCCCCCACTTTACCCACATGCTCCAGAGTAACGAGAAAGAGGGAAGCCATGCTGCCCTCTCAGGCTCCGGGAAGCAGACTGCGGATTGAGGGCCTTTTCCTTTTCTGAGCTGGGGCACAGCTGGGGCGGGGCCGCAGGGAGGAGCTGGGTGTTGTGAGGTGCTAAGACCCGGGGTGGGGGGTTTGGGGAGAGAGGGAAAAACCAGCGGTGGTTTGGTCAACAAGGGGCATTTGAGGATGTACAATGTGAGTGCCTTCTCCACCTGCCCGTGGACGTGTCAGTGGGAGTGGACTCTTGGGGGTGAGGTTAAATCGGGGTCAAGTTCTTGGCCAGGGCTGGCCAGTGATGAGTGTGGACATCAAACACGAGAACACAGGGGGCACCTGGGTGGCTCAGTGGGTTAAGCCTCTGCCTTCGGCTCAGGTCATGATATCAGGGTCCTGGGATCGAGCCCCACATCAGGCTCTCTGCTCAGCAGGGAGCCTGCTTCCCCCTCTCTCTCTGCCTGCCTCTGCCTACTTGTGATCTGTCAAATAAATAAAATCTTTGGGGGGGAAAAAAACCCACAAACACAGGACCAGGAGTTGGAGGGACAGGAACCTCCAGGTTTCATGTGACAGAGACACAGTCCGGTAGCATTTTTCAGCTTGAACTTGAGCAGCAAGTAAGAGAGCACACTGCGCTTGTCATCCCAGTAGGGACGAGGGAATTTAGAGAATCCCTCCTGCTTGGGCCCGACCGCCAGACCAGAGGTGGGACAGAAGACGGGGGCCGTGTGGCCTACTGTTGCCTCGGGTGGCCCTTTTCTCAAGGGAAGGGTCTGAACCTGGGGGAACACAATGGGGCTCAGCATAAACCCACTAAATGGGTTTTGGCTGTGAGCAGTTCTTTCCAAAGATGTTGCCTTAAATCTCCGATATTCAAACCATGCAGTACAAACATCAACGTGCACGGCCTGCACACACACGGCGGTCGAATCCGCCCGTCTGCGGCACAGCCCGGGGCTTGGGAGCACGGACAAGTCACCTGACATCCCTCCCACCTGCCTGGTCTTCGACATCCAGCAGGAGCACCCACAGCCACCCTGTCGGCCGACGGCTGCACAACTCTGTGAATTAAAAGTCCTTCGACAAACACGGAAACCAGGTGGATTTTATGGTCCGAACATGGAACCCACTCAGCCGCTTACAGGGGACCCACATCAGAGATGCCGTGAAAGGAAGAACGGAAGGCGTCTGACACTGGGCCTGGCACAGCGAACACTCGGGAAACACTAGGGGTCAGTAACGTGTGACAAAGATTAAACAGAGCACTGAGAACGTGTCTCGTTAGATGTAAGAAGTCCAGAACCGTGGGGCCGGCTGGACCCTGGAGTTCGCAGAGTTCATGTCCCCTCGTCTCAAGGTCAGAGCCATCTCTACCTGCTGGAGGCCGGCTGCGTGCGGCCTGCTGCCTCCTGGTGCCTCCGACGCTCAGACCTGCACGCACCCGAGGAGGACACAGGACACTCGCGTGGAGGGAACAAGGGGGCTGCACACAGCAGACAGCTCCAGGGTGAGGCCCTGGTTGGGCAGGAGAACTGGCCCAGCGTGGGGGCAGGTGCCTGCTGACAGCAAGGCTGTGTAGTCCCTGTGCGACGTCCTGGCACGGGACACAGCAGGCCGGCCATCCGTCCATCCGCATAGCCCCCACGTCGGGCACAGCTGCCCACCGGCTGCTCCTGCCCTGCTGGGCGGCCCAGGCTCTCTGCCCTCCCCCTGCCCCCAGCATCACCCACCAGCCCCTCAGGATGCTCAGGGCCTTGCTCGCCATCCTGGAGGTGGCTGTCGCCTCCTCCATCCTGCACGCTCTGCAGAGGAACAAGGAGGCCCGGCAGGTGGGGAGTCCCCAAGCTTCCTGCCTCCAGGAAGGAAGCCTCGTCTAAGGCTCCTCGGCACACGTCTGCAAGATGTCAAAGCTGCAAGAAACTCCATCAGGGGTCCCAGGGCTCCGCAGCGGGCGGGAGGGCAGGGAGGGTGTCCTCCGCTCAACTGTTTTAACACCACAGAGGAAAATCATCCACAACTCTCCTGGGAGGTGGCGGCACTGTGGGCCCCCACAGTTCCTGATTAGAAATAATCCACGCTATGTGGCCTGTACAGACCCAGAGGCGATGGCATCCCCCAGGGGTGCAGGGAGGGGGTGCGAAGGCAGACAGAGGAAACACTGAGGCCTGAAACAAGTTTTATGGTGGAACTCGGGATCCTGAAACCTCTCCGGGAACAGTATCTAAAAGCCTCTCCTATCCAACCGCTGCGTGGGCTGGCAGGCGGCAGGGCCGTCCTCCCGCGGGTCGTGCGGGCGGGGCACGGCAGGGACCCCCATTCGGCGCGCTCAGTCGGCGCCGTGCACGCTCTGGTGCCGGAGCAGGTGGGAGCTCCTGCCGAAGGCCTTCTGGCACTCGCCGCACGCGTACGGCTTCTCGCCAGTGTGGACCCGCTGGTGCAGCACAAGCTGGGAGTGCTGGCCGAAGGTCCTCTGGCACTCGCCGCACACGTACGGCTTCCCGCCGCCGTGGGTCTTCTGGTGGAGGAGCAGCTCCGAGCTGTCCCAGAAGGTCCTCGCGCACTCGCCGCACTGGTGGGGCTTCTCCCCGGCGTGGACCCGCTGGTGCGCCGCGAGGTGGGAGGTGCGCCGGAAGGCCTTCCCGCACTCAAAGCACTCGTAGGGCTTCTCGCCCGTGTGGATCCTTTCGTGCCGCAGCAATTCCGAGTTGCCCCGGAAGGCCTTCCCGCACTGCGCGCACACGTACGGCTTCTCGCCCGTGTGGATGCGGACGTGCCGGACAATCTCCGAGTTCTGGCCGAAGGTCTTGCCGCACTCGCGGCACTCGTACGGCTTGTCCCCCGTGTGGATCCTCTGGTGGCGGATGAGCTCGGAGCTCTGGCCGAAGCCCTTGCCGCACTGGCCGCACAGGTAGGGCTTCTCGCCGGTGTGGATCTTCTGGTGGCGGATGAGGCCCGAGCTGTGCTTGAAGGCCTTGCCACACTCGCCGCACTCGTGGTAGCGCTCGTCCGTGTGGATGCGCTGGTGCTGGATGAGCTGCGAGCTGACGCGGAAGGTCTTGCCGCACTCGCCGCACGCGTACGGCTTCTCGCCCGTGTGGATGCGCTGGTGCAGGGCGAGCGCCGAGTTCTGGCTGAAGGCCTTGCCGCACTCGCCGCACTTGTAGGGCCGCTCGCCGGTGTGGACGCGGTGGTGGTGCACGAGGTGCGAGCTCTGGATGAAGGCCTTGCCGCACTCGCCGCAGGCGAACGGCTTCTCGCCCGCGTGGATGCGTAGGTGCCGCCGCAGGCTCGAGTTAGTCCCGAACGCCTTCCCGCACTCCTCGCAGCCGAACGGCTTCTCCCCGCTGTGCACGCGCAGGTGCTGCAGGAGGTGCGAGTTCTGGTTGAAGGCCTTCCCACACTCTTTGCACGCGTGAGGCTTTCCTCCCACCGGGCTTCTCTGCGCCCCGGGTGCTGCAGCCCTCTCCGCGGGGCTGGAGCAGGGCACGGTCCGGGGCACCAGTGGGTGCGGGCCAGGACCCCGGACACGCTCGCTCTCGTCGCTGTCCCTGGACTCCTCGCCCGACGGGGACCTCTTACAGACGGCCGGCCCCGACGGGAGGCCCTTCCCGCGAGGGGACGCCCGCTGCGCGCTCCCGTCTGCGGACACTCCCGAACGCCTCGCCACCGTGTCCTCCGCCCGGGCGGCTCCCAACTCCCGGCCCTGGCAAACCACTTGGGGAAATTTCTCCGACGTGGCCGCGCGTGGCTCGGGGTCTTCAGAAGCCTCCTCCTTGGGGATTACCTCCACGTGCTCAGTCCCCATCTCACAATCTGAAATGACAGAGGGCAGGCACGTGAAGTGGCTGCAGTGCACAGGACCCCCCGCGAGAGCTGGCGCGGTGGACCGCATGCCACGGCGGCCTGGGGGTCGGGGGACAGGACCGGACCAGGGGCGATGGCGGGCACGCCAAACGGAGGCCGGGCCCTGCCTGAGAAGCGCGACGCGGATTGTCTGAGGGAGAGATATAAGGAGAGGGATGCTCCCGAAATGTGGCCGGGGACCTGGGCGTGGTAAGGAAAGTGGGAACAGAGGGTCCACTGCGGAAAGGCTGGGCGAAGCAGCAGAGATGACACACTTCTCACCAGAGACAGGGCCCCTCCCTGGTGCTGACCCATGGCGCTCAGCAGGACACAGGTCTGCCGCCGGATTGGCAGGGCGGACTGTCCAGAGGGTCCCAGGGCTGGGCCAGGGCCAGAACCACAACAGAAGTCAGTCCTCTTGGCTCCCTTCCATCTGGGCGAGGTTGCCCTGTCTTCGTCTTCTCCAGGTGGCCACCCTATGGACACCTGCTCTCCCCGCCCCCCCCATGGAAACGCAGCCCACACCGCAGTCTGGCGCTGAGTCAGGCTCCAGCACTGGGCTCCCTTCAGTTCCGCAGACCCGTCCCTGCCCCAGGACCAAAGCTCCGGCTCACTGCAGCTCCCTGAAGTCTTCACTAAGTGAGAGAGCTTCGCGCTCTTTTTCAAATGCTTCCTGTCAACGCTCACCTTTCTTCAAATAAGTTTGTTTTGTGAAATGTCCAAACGTATCCTGATGTTTTTAGGTCCAACACGTCTCTTTCCTTTTTGCGAGTTTTCTTCTATTTTCAAATGAGTTAATTCTTTTTATACATAGCTATGTCAACTTCTACAGACTGTTTATAAAACAGCCTCTTCAGAGAGTTTTTTTTAACACTATTTTAGATCTAAACCTACACTTTTTTAAACTTCTAAAAGGCTACCGCAAAAGTTTTAGTTGTTACCCACTATGCCTTCTTCCACAGGTCATCACCAACAGAATAATGAACGTATTTACTGCAGCATGGAACCTGGCTGAAGACGGACATCCCTCAGCCTTCTCTGCGGACGGGTGTGGCCACACGACCGCACTCTGGTCGGTGAGACAGGAAAAAGCAGACGAAAATGCGTGGGATGTCTGGGAAGTCTCCTGAGGGGACTGTCTTTCTTCACTCTTCTCCACACTGTGCCTGGGGAGACAGGTGGTAGACGGGTGCCATCTGGGGCCGTGAGCACTGCAGTGTCCCCCCCCATACCCTAGGACGGGGCAGAGCTGGAAGGAACCAGATCCCTGGCGGCTCCACGGAGCTGCCATCCCAGCCCTGGAATGCCTGCCTCTGGACTTTTTTTTTTTTTAGATTTTATTTATTTATTTGAGAGAGAGACATGAGCAGGGCAGAGAGCAAGGAGCATGTGGGACTCAATCCCAGGACCCCAGGACCTGAGCCAAAGGCAGACACTTAACGACCGAGCCATCCAGGCACCCCCAGAACTTTTCCATCTGAGAGAGAAATATGCCTTTGCCTTGCTTAAGCCATTGTGGTTTTTTGTTTTGTTTTTAGGAAGCCAGACCTTCTCCTAACTGGCACCATGGCCCTGGGGGTTGAGCTATCCTGGACAGAGAAGCGGGGTCAATGCCAGAACGGGCCTGGCCTCTGTCCAGGGAGAAAGCAGCCTGGGGCAGGGCACACGGGCACAGTGGCCAATCAGAGGAATAGGATTCTCCGCCTGTGAAGTTGTGGCAGCTGAATCTCAAGGGGGCACGGGCAGCCGAGGGCCCTCACCCTATACCGCAGAGTCATGGAATGGTTTCTAAGCCAGGGAGTGACACAGACCACGGCCAGATAAGCGTTTCAGGCCAAGGCACACTAACGACCACTTCGTAGCCAGAAAGCAGCAGGCCAGGACGTAGGACCTATGAGAAGGCGGAGGCACGCATCAGGGTGGGGGGCGTGAGCTGACCAGGGCAACAGCAGCAGAGGGAACGAAGAGGAGACAGCTGCATAAAGAGCTCAGGGTCAAACTCCGTAAGGCTCGGCTGGGAGCTGCCGGGGCTGGACACAGGGTAAGGAGGGGAGCACAGTCATGGACGATGCCCAGCCCTCCCTGCCCGTCATCAGATGACCAGCAGTGCCAATGGCCGGGGGTCCGGCGGCAGCAGCTCATTCGGGCAGCAAGAGGACCCATCAACGTTGTTTTGCACAAGACACGTTTCAAGGCATCCATACAGAATACCAAGGAGTCAGCTAAAATGTCCCGGTCTGAAGATGCCCTGGCCAAGACCAGAGACACGGCCCGGACCGGACTGAGCATCGCTGGTAGCAGCACCGTGTGATGGCCACTGCAGACAGGGCACAGACACCCAGAAGTCAAAGCTAGCGTGCAGGCTCTGCCGTCACCCACCATCCTTCCCTTTGGGGCTTCCCGCCTTTCTCCGCCCCAGGAGGCTACACTCAGCATGGACATTCACAGCCCCCTGGCGTCCAACTGCAGCCGTGGGGAGGTCCCACGGAGACCAGAGGGAGGGAGGACTCAGGTCGGGGCATTTGTTCCCTTGGTTCCCTCCTGTGAGGCAGCCTTGGGCTGGCGGTGTCCCCTCATTCACCAAAGGCCGTTCTTCCTCTTGGGGAATCTGTCCGACCCAATCATCTCACAGCCCCGGAGCCAGCAGCCTCCCCAGCCTCTGGTACCCCCAGGCCCGGCTCCCGGATCCACACCTGGATCATTTGTAACTAACCTCCCTCAATGACCCTAATCTGAATGAGTAGCTTCCTGTCTGGACCCTCGTGGCAGAGAGTGGGAGGATGAAGGGAAGCCTGCCAACAAAAGAAGGGATAGTGAGTGACCGGGTCACTGGGCCAGGGTGGACAGAATGACACAGGGCCACCTGGAAAGTGCCTATGGGGACAGTCCGGCGGTCAAAGGGGCCTGTGGGAGCAGACTCGCTGGAGAAGTCGAGCCCAGTGGCAGCAGACAGATGGACCGGTCTGTTGCTTTTTCCAAGAGTCTGGATGAAAGGACCAAGGACCTCCCGAAGGGAGCGCCCCGCCCACGCCCCACACATGTTGGTACAAAAGGCGTGGCGCCACCCAGCCCGGGACACCCAGAAGGAGCCTGACCTCCTCGTGGGGTCCCCGAGACATGGAATCTCTGGGCTCCCCCGAGAGGACCCGCAATCTTCAGCTCTGCCCGCAACACGGGCTCTGCCCTTCCCACAGAGCAAGGGCAGCCCCCAAAAGCTGGACTTCTCCTTTTTGTTGAAATTTCTGCAAACTGCGGTTGAGTAAGGGTCCACGGCGCTGGGACTCAACTGCACCCTCGTTCGTGGCGCACGTGGGCTGGGAAGCACACCCTTAGAGAGATGTCTGACACGTAGCCGCGGTCCAGTCCCACAAGCTGCTATTTTTCGGTCCCCGTCAACGCCCCACCCCTCTCCTGTCCCCTTGTCACCCACGTCTCTCCTACAGTCCACCGTCCGGCGCCTCGCAAGGTCGGAATTCTCAGAACCGCAAGGAAAAGCACTTGTCCACGGTACAACAGGACAAGCGTTCTATCTGCCCCCCATTTCAAGATCTGGTTCAAAAGTCAAATCCAGAACATCTCCCCCAACGGAACGTGACCCCCTGACCCTTCCTCCCCTCTGTCTTCTGCCAGCGACATGGTACTAGCGTCCCTGGCGGGTCGCACTGCTGTATGCCTTTCTGGCAGTTCCTCATGTGTGCGTCAGAGCCAAGGGCACGTGGTAGGCCTCACGCTCATACAGAAACACTCCCCTCCTCCAGCCTAGATTCAAACTTCCAGCCGGAATTTCCTAACTTTGTCTCTCATGTCCTCACTCTCCTAACCCTGAAACTGGCTGCTTCTGGATAGAGAGGATGGCGGTGTCACCTGAGCAGGAGGGGGTCGGCTCCTGGTCCTCGCTCTGGGGGGGGGGGGGGACACGCAGACCTCTCCTAGCTCACCACAGCTCAGTACAGGGTCTACAGCTCTGCAAACCCAGATTTGTTTTTCACTGCACCCCAGGAAAGCACCCGCAGAAAGCCTCACCCACAGAGTCCCGATGCACCCACCAGCTACCCATGTAGCCACTAACAAGACCTTCGACTCTGAAAGGACCACGCTGCCACGGAAACCCTGAGAACTGCGTCACAGCTTGCAATTAGAGCGGGAAGACTGTTTGTTTGATTCTTAAACAACAATCCTCAGCCTGGAATGAGGCAGGATGCGCGATAGTCCACTGGGAAATGTGCAGAAACTAGGAAATTCGAAATGACGAATTCCAGGTCCCACCTCAGGCCTCCGAGAATCCCCTGGGCGGGCCCAGGGCGCTGGGGGTCTAACAAGTACCCTGGGGGATCCTGATGCCCCAGCAGGGGTGAGAGCTGCCCCAAACTCAGTCCGGGACACTCGGCTCTACCTAAGGCCTGGCCCACTGCGCCCGCCACATGCATGCAGCAGCAGGAATGCGCGGACATGGCCGGCTAATGCTCCGACTTCTTTTCTCCTTTCTGACCCTCCCGCTGGACTGGGCTGGGCTACCCTCCCCTCCCCTCCCCTCCGCTTCGCAGAACAGACAGGGCAGATCCAGTCCCGCACGCTGGAGGCTCTCCATGGAGGGAAACCCACACTTGTGCACCCATCAGGCCTTAGCTGCTGGGACAGGAACGGAGTTTGCCCCCAGCTGCCTAAATCCGAGTTCACACCAATCTCCAGGGATAGCAACATCACTCCATCCTTTGAACTCATCTGCCCAAAATCATGATGTGATTTGTCATAAACACTGACTAATCTGGCCGCTGACACTCTGCTTAGGTCTTTTTTTTTAATATATATATATATTTTTTAAGATTTTATTTATTTGTCAGAGAGAGAGGGAGAGAGAGCGAGCACAGGCAGACAGAATGGCAGGCAGAGGCAGAGGGAGAAGCAGGCTCCCTGCCGAGCAAGGAGCCCGATGTGGGACTCGATCCCAGGACGCTGGGATCATGACCTGAGCCGAAGGCAGCTGCTTAACCAACTGAGCCACCCAGGCGTCCCTGCTTAGGTCTTTTTAAAATGTCTGTTGAAAGCAAAGATTTCTGAAAGAGCTACAAAAGGCCCAAGAATCACTCCCGTCTCCAAAAGACTCTGCAGGGTTGCACGCAGAGGCTGTTCCAGCCCAGAGGGACACACAGCAGGAACTGTAGGGAGGGCATGGTGAGAGACAGGTCTCCCTTTGGTAACAGGACGAGAGCAAGCTGAAGGAGCAGGAAGGGAAAGCTGCGGGCCAGGGGTCCACGGGGTCCGCTGCCGGGCAGACGCAGACGGGGCAAGGCAGGGGTGCAAACGGGCTTCCAGACAGCGGTCCCCGGGCTCACAGAGGTCACAGATGGTGTCTGCGCATCCCACCCCCATCCCCACAGAACTACACACAGCACCCAGGCAGCGCGCGAGGCGAGCACCAGAGTAAAGAGAAAAGGAACAGAGGGAGCATTGTGGCCTCGGCGTAGCATGTGGACTGACAAGGAGGCCCAGAGTCGGTGAGAGGGCTGGCATTCTGATGCGGAGAGGGACCGGGAGCGCTTACTATGTGCTGGGTGCAAAGTGACGCACAGACGTTACCCTGGGAAACCCTCACAGCCTCCCCAGGAGATAAGCATGCCCGTGTGAGGAGGAGGAGCCGATCAACCTCATTTCCCCACCCTCTCCAGCCCCAAAGCAGCTGGGAATCTGGGGACATGGCGGTGGAAGAATGAGGGACTTGAGGATGTCAGCCAGGACACAGTGGAGATGGGAGAGTGGGACAGGGAGGTGGATGGAGTGGGGGAAGGGAGGGAGGCGTAGCGTGTGCCCAGATGGAGGTTTCAGAAAGGGGGGAAATGTGTTAAGCACACAGCACACAGAATCACAGGGCAAGGATCCTGGCACGTGGCCCAAGGTTTAATTTTGAAATTCCAAAATTCATGATACACTCAGAATATCCTTTGCAACTATTCAAATTTATGATGAAACATTTTAGAAGTTGACTTCTGCGTAGGTATGGGGACACAACGCTTCTCCAATCCTTTTACGGAGCATTTGAGCAAAGAAGTGGGCAGTGGTCTTGCAGGCTCTGCAGGAGATCTGAGCTCTGGGAGTGAGCCCCCACCGAGCTAACCCAGACAGCAAGACCACCTCCCTTGCAAGGGACTGTTCAGAACAGCAGGGACGGATCTGGGGACGGACATATGCCTTCATCTGAGTCAATGATGTTCTGAGCAGGCTTGCTGGGAGCCTCCGGGAATTGTTCCTACCATCCTGCCCAGCTTGTGGATGACGTCAGGGAGAGCTCATAAAAATCGAGGGACCGTGGAGCCACTAGGTTCAGTTCGTCCGGGAAGCACTTTCCTGCATGGCTCCAACTGTGCAAGCTTACACACCCGCACAGGCCGAAGCCAGCGTGAGCTGCATTATGTTACTTACAGACAAAAAGCATCTTAAGGGATATCCTTTCCCCTAACTTCTGAAACGCCCAATCCTACCAAGTGTCCAGCATCCCGTACAAGGATCTCCTCCTCCCCGGGGTGTTCGCTCAGGCGCAGGACCGGGAAGCTGCTGGGAGGGTCCTGCGGGCCAAACACCGGCTACTCTTTCCAGCGTTGTGGCCTTTGGGAACAGGTGTTCCCACTTCCCGGAATACCACCGCCCACTGTGCGCTTCACCAACATGCACGGGCCTGGGCTCGGCCACACGCAGTCCCACTCTCTTCCCTGACCCCGACGGCCCTCGGTCTGCTGGCAGTCACGCAGCCGTACCGTCTGTCTACGCGCACCCCCCACCCAGCGCCTGGAGCGTCCCGGGCAGCGGACGGAGACGGCTCACGAGCATCTAAGCGCGCTATCTACACCGCGGGGCTGCGGCGCCCTCGAGGACTAAGCGGGTATTTCATTCCCTTTCGGACCCCAGGGGCCCAAACCGGTGCCGGGCGTGGAGGCGCGTCGCCCGTATGGGCGACGGACCAGTCTGTCGAGCGCCGTCTCCCGGCTCTCCCGGGTCCCCCCGCGGTCCCCCCGCCAGGACGGCTCCCGAACCCCCGCGCTCAAAGCCGCTCCCGTCCGGCCCCCGCCCCAACCCGGCAGCCAGTGTCCGGCGGGGTGACCGTCCCGGCCGCGCTCGGGGTCGCTGGGTCGGAAGGCCGGGGGCAGGGCGCGCGCGGGGACGGCCCTCGCGGAGCAGGTGGGGAAATGGAGGCGGGTTGAGCGAGGCGGCCGGCCGGCCCAAGGTCACAGGCCGGCTCGACGCGTCCGCCCGGCCCGCGGGCCGCAGCAGCCTCGGGGCCCGGCCCCCGCCCCGCCGCGCCGGAGGAAGGTCTCACCGCGGCCGCTCGCTCCGCGCTCGCCCCGCGCCGCGCTCCCAGCCGCCGAGCTCTCCGCGTCCCGGGCGGCGGCGGCCGGCGCTTTCACTTCCGGCGCGCTCGGCCAATCAGCGCGCGCCGCCGGCGGCAGAGGAGCAGGTGGGCGGTCCGTCCCGCCCCGGCGCGCGCTCCGACCGACCCGCCCCCCCCCCGCCCTCCCCGGGACCCCTCCCCCGGACCGTCCCGGAACCCCAAGCGCCGCCTCGCCGCCCCCCGCGGGGTCTGCTCCCCGGAGAGGTCACCCCGGCGCCCGCGTCCCCCGCACCCCGCGGGACCACCGACGAGCAGGGTCCTCCGGCCGGCCTAGAACGGCCCCGGGGACGCACTTCCGCCGCGGGGCCGGCCGCTCTGCGCGACCCAGTCGCTGCCCCCGCGTCCACCTGCGCCCGAGCGGGCGGCGGCCGCTTCGCCCTGGGCGCCCCACCCCCGTGGCCCTCAGCCCGTCAGGCCCCTTCCCGGAGCGCCGAGGGCCTGGCGGGCGCGGACCCCTGCATCCCGGAGCGCGGCGAGCAGGGAGCCCGCTCGGAGGTCGGAGGGCCTGCTCGCGGGAGCGCCCTGGGGTCAGCGTGCGGGCCACCGCCGGCCGCGCTTATTCTCCGCCGGGCACCGTGCGCTCCGTATCCTCCGCCGGCCCGGCTCGCCCCAGCCCCGGGCCTCGGCCTCTGAGCTCCCGTGCGGTCCTCGGGCCTTCTGTGCGCGGGCCTCGGCGCGCGGGGCGGAGGGCCCGGCCGGCGGCACTGCTCGCAAACGCCGCTCCTCGGGGGAGCGCCGTGACGGGCCCCGTCCGCGTCCGTGCATTGGCGGCGGTGGGAGGGTCAGCCCGGCCGCGGCGGCTTCCGCGCTGGCCTCAACGCTGTCCTGCGGGGTCGGAGGAGCGGCTGCCCTCGGGGGAGGCCGCGATGTTTGCAGCCGGTGCGCGGTAGAGCGGGGAGCTTTCCCTTGAGCTGCTCGTTGGAATTCGGCCCGAGACCCCGGGGTCCGCGCTCCTGCCCCCACCCCAGCACCCTCAGCCCCTCTGCCCTCCCACCAGCGGCGGCCGAGAAGCGTGGACCGTGGGCCGGCCGAGATGCCCGTCTTCCTCGCCTAGGCTGCGCACAGCCCGTGGGAAAGACATTTCCAGAAGAGCCCCAAGACCCGGTGTCGTTTCTCCCTCCCGCAGGCCTTTTCCCACCCCCAGACGTCGCGTCCGCTTCCCCAGCGGCTCGCCCGCACTTCGCACGACCCCCGCTGCAACCTGCGCGCTCCCCAGGACTACACCCACCCAAGGGCCGCGGCGGTAGCCACTGCGCGCACCCGGCACCCCAAGGAAGGATGCCCGGCCACGCAGGTACCCTGCCCCAGGACCAAAGGCTGGGGGACGTTTGGCCCCGCTGACTGACTTTATCCAGGTCACCTGCATTAGCGGGCATCCGCCTCGAGAACCCAGATGAGGGGCACCCGGGTGGCTCTGTCGGTGAAGTGTCTGCTTTCGGCTGCGGTCACAATCCCAGAGTCCCGGGATCGAGCCGATATCGGGCTCCCTGCTCAGGCGGGGCCCTGCTTTTCCCTCTCCCTCTCCCTTGGCTCATGCTCGCTCTCTGTCAAATAAGTAAGTAAAATCTTGAAAAGAATGAAAGAAAGAAAAGAACCCAGACAAGGGACTCAGCCATGGCTGCCCGTTGGAATGGGGAGGTGGATGGATTTTACAACTACTGATGTCTGATGCTAACCCCACAGGTTCCAGGCAGGGTGTGTGTGTGTGTGTGTGTGTGTACGTGCACACACACACACGCATACACACACTCACGTGCTTTGTGATTTTCAGCTTTCTGAATGATTTGAACGTGCAGCTAACAAAGTTGAAAACCAGCAGCCCCAGTCAGTGACTCTCAGAGTGTCCAAACGGATGGAGTTCGCATCTCCTGGAAACTTGATGGAAATGCAAATCCTTGGGCCCCATTCACATATCTTCTGCATCATAAACTCTGGCGTTAGGGTTTGGCAGTCTGTTTTCACGGGCCCTTCAGGGGGTCTGATGCCCACTAACGTTTCCCTGTCAGGGCCCAGACATCAGCTGCACTGACTTTAATCAGCCCTTGAACGTGGGTTGGAGAGGAAAAAAAAAGATAAGCTGCATCTTCCCAGCTCCTCCCCGGCCCACCCTCTGCTTTATTAAACTAGCAAATTCAGGGGCATCTGGAGCCCCTGAATTTGGAAATTTGGAAATTCATGAGGGAAGGAGACCGAGGCAAATGGTCCCCAAATACCATCCCCATTTTCAGTGGGCATGAGGATGTATACAGCTGGTGTTTCATGGTCTCCCTACAGGCTTAGGACTTGCACAGGATGTTTTTTACAGATGAGGGGAAGCAGTTTCTCTGCTGGGTGGGAATCTCGGTCACCCTCTTGAATTCATGCAGGGACAGACACGTGGAAAATAAAAGACATCCCAGTCGTGTTCTCCGATGTCCCCTTCTCTCCCATCCGTGGAGAACGTGAGGAGAGCTCCCAGCACGGGCCACAGCCCTTTGTTAGACTTTGTTAGATCACATCATCTCAGATGAAGCTTACGACTCTGTTTTAGACCTACGGCTCATCATGATTATGTTTTAATTGTCTGCAGACCACATTCCAAAGTATCACCAAACCATTAGGAACAGCACTGGATGTCCGCCCACACTTCAGCAGCACCATATCAGCCATGGTGGGGCTCCTAGAGATACAGGACTGCGAGCACTACCTTGTGCACCTCCGGGTCCCTCCAAACTGCTCACCCCCCCAGACATGTAAGCCAGCCAGGAACGGCTCCAACACAAGACGCTGGCTTGCATGGCCTTCTCTCCCTGGAAACCTCCCCACTTCTCACCTCTCTACATCCATGTCTTGTGTGACCTGTCCCCTCCCTCATCAAACCTGCCTTTCTGCCCCTCTTTCAACCAGGCCAACCTCACAGTATATCGGGGATGCCCAGAGTCTCACGCAGCATGGCACAGATGTAACTGGGCACAAATGATTCCACTGTTTCCCAGGAAACGTGCCTTTCCCCGGTATAGACGGTGTTCCTTGAGAGCCCACACTGCATTACACGTCCCGGGAGACGCTGGCCGTGCCCAGCCCATGTTCGGTAGAAACTGGCCAAGCTAAAACACTCAAGTGTCACCTCCACGCACTGAAGCAACAGCAAAAGTTGAGTCAAGACTCAGTTAAGTCTTCTGTGTTTCCCTCCGTCCTCCAGCGATGACGAGGCAGGCAGCCTGCAGCTGCAGACCTCGTCATTATCCCCGAGGAGCCCGGAAGGCATCTAATTCTACTCCTGTGCTCAGGCCGCAGCCCATCAAGGAGTCTTGGTTGGGGCTCGCAGCTGGCTCAGTGGGTGCAGCATGTGACTCTGATCTTGGGGTCATGAGTTCGAGCCCCAAATGGGGTGTAGGGATTACTTGAAATGTTTAAAAATAAAAATCTTGGACGAACTATTCCTCCAAAAAACATCCCTTCTCTGTGATACCAACTTTCTCCTCAGGCTGACGTGATCCATTTGCCAACTCCCACGCCATTAACTCACTCTCCAAACCGTGCTCTCCCAGACGCCACACACCTGCCCACAACACCGTCCTCGTCCCCAACACTGCCGAAATCCTCACGGCCCCTCTCGAGTAAAAGGGTCCCTTTGTTTCCAAGGCTTTGTTTTGCTGCCAACACCCACGACTCTCTCCAGACTCATCCTGGGCTCCTGGCTGTCCCCTCCCTGCAGTGAGTCGCCCCATGACCACGGATAGGGCTACAGTGTTAATTCTGCAGAAGAAATCACGAGGCATACATCTTACCCAGGCGGCAAAATATGGGTCTGGAGGCGACAGAACAACAAATCCGATCCGTACAAGTGTCTCACACAGTTTGCAAAGGCCCCTCGCCTAGACTGGCCACAGGAAGAGTGTCCCGAAGCTTAGACTGTCTACCACAGGTGTAGATGAGGCTCTCCCTGATGAGGGGGCCCAGAGGAGTCAGGGACTTGTCCAAGGGTCATCAGGTCAGACACCGCGAGGCCAGGATGAGCACCCACACCTTCGTTCTCCTCCCCAGACTCTTGTCACTCCAATCTGACCGCCTTCCCGGAGTCCCACGCAACCTGCCTCCAACCCTTACAGGGGCCCCAAAGCGTGCCCTGTTTTGTCCCTCTTTTCTGCATGAGTCAGCTCCAGGGAGGACATATCAAATCCAGCTTTCACAAGATCTCACTTCCCTGACACGTGCAGAGCTTCTCCCATCGACCAAAATAAATCCCTGCACAACGCTGGAGTCTGGGTCACCTCTCTGGCTCCCCTCCTCCCGGCATCTGACTCAGAGAACGTCACACACACACACACCCCAAACCTCCTCTGATTCCTCCCCTCCGGTTGCAATGCAAAGCGCTGCCCGTCCTGACCCTGGGCGTCGGGGCTTGTGCTCTCCTGTAAGAACATTTTCCATCTCCCCGCCGGGTGACAAGAGCCCCGCCTGCCCCCTGTGACCGTGCCTGTCACTCAGCACTGACCACAGCATGTGTGCAGCTGATGGAGACGGGCTCCCGGAAAAGTCTGCCACAATTAACCGGGAAGTTCACAGTGGCTTTGAGAACTAGAACTTAAAAACCAAAAGACGGCACGAATTGTGCTGGGTATCAGGGACGAGGAGTGTAGAGAATTGCCAAATCAGTGCTCTGCACCTAAAGCTAACATAACATCAAATGTTAATTATATTTCAGTTTAAAAAAAGAATAAGGGGGACACCTGGGTGGCTCAGTCGGTGAAGCGTCTGCCTTCAGCTCAGGTCATGTTCCCAGGGTCCTGGGAACGAGCCCCGCGTCGGGCTCCCTGCTCAGCGGGGGATCTGCTTCTCCCTCTCTCTCTGTTGCTCCCCCTGCTGTGCTCTCTCTCTCTCTCCCTCTCTCAAATAAATAAATAAAATCTTTTTCAAAAAAAGAAAACATTATAAGAACATTTAAAATTATAATAGTACATTTTTGCCATCTTTCTAATTATTTAAG